AACACACATTCATAATATACATAGACGTGTTATTCATCATAAACCACACATTCATGAGGAATAACACGTACATATTCACGATGAATACATCACATGTCGCGTTGTAACATATCAATTAGGTTCCGTAACCACATACACATAAATAAATACGTGTATGTATACAAAATCTTAAATATGGTCAAAGTCAAAATATAATTCTAAAAAATGGGTTAATATATATATGGGGTAGGTAAGGATTTTCGTAAACAATGCTTTTCTAAGGTATTAAAAACACGTTTCGTATACATACCAATTACAAATTCATATGTCCAAATCCTGATTGTTGTCTCTAAGTCAGATATTTTTTTAAAATTTTAATTATTCTTCTATAGATATTTAATTTAACGTTATTTTCACTTAGAAAAAATRAGCAACTGCCATCATGGGAGAAAGCGATGTATGATTTAATGACTAAATTACGGATTTGGTCCTCATGATTCTTCGGTTTATTTTTTTTTTTTTTGATCTTAACAAGTTATTTATTACAAAATGAGCCTTTTATGGTATATACTTTTATTTAGGTTTCGACCCTTTCGTTAACGACTGTTAAATTTCATCTGTTAAGTACTCTTTCATGAGGACAATATGGTCATTATCTATGAAATGTGAGACCAGGGACGGACCCATAATTTTTTTTAAAGGGTGGCACCATTTGACCATAAGAAAAAATATATAGGAAATTTTTTTTCAAATGATGGCACCGTTTGACTAAAAAAATGACACTAACATGATTCGTACTTGGGTGTGGGGTGGAATAAAAGCCTCGCAAACCAACTCTACCAAATAAAATTTGTTCTCGTTGTAGTTTCAAAATACATACGGTGGCACATAATAAATTAATACGACTGCACCGTTCACGAAACCTAAATTTTTTACCCTTCGGCGGAGAAACGATACGATGGCACGTGCCACTCATGGCACTTAACTAGGTCCGCCTGTGTGTGAGACTTAGCAACAAGTTCACAAAAACAAAGAATTGTGAGGGAATAGATAACGATGTAAAGAAGAGGGAGGGTTAGGATTTTTTTCTCCGCCCTGGGTTTACGATCAACAAGGAGGTTAAAGTTTGTTGCATGGCTGCAACTGTAGATCCCAGAGATTGGAGTTGAAATTGGAAGCTTTGGTGGGAGACTGATTTAGAGAGAAGGCGAAGGGTGGTGCAAAGAGATGTCTCACAGCTAAGGGGCTACTCGTCCTCGGTTGATTATTATTCTCTTTGGTGATTGTTTTGCTATCTTCCTCGATTGATTTTTCTTTCTTCTGCACTGATGCTCGGAGATGATGGCCAATCGCAAGAAATGAGATGAGACGGAGAGAGGGAGAGAATGTGGTAGAAGTGTTTTAGCCTTTAGGGTTGAAAAGAAATGAAGGCCCAAAAAGACCAATTTACCCTCGTATGCAAGGTACACGGAGGAGTTAACAACAGGGGTACAAGCGGTGTTACTACCAGGGACTAACATCAAGCAAAAATGTATATTAGAAGGATTTTTCTTTTTTGTAATAGACAAATTGTATGAACCGAAACCAAGAAAACCCAAGAACCACAACGATCAAATCCATAATTTACTCATACGTATATGTATATATATTATATGTAGAGGGACTAAACTGGAAATTTTTGCAAACCACAAGGACCAAAGATGTAATTTACTATTTATTTTTTCATATTTTCCAAATTTTCCTTATCATTTTTCCACCGAAATTTATTTATTTGGGCCCAAACAGCCGCACCATGACAAGCTTAATGGGCCCCAACCAAGCGAGCAGTCCAATCAGACAAGATAGCATATTTCGGTGACCACCCACCCAATCAAAATTACCAAATCTATCCCTCATCCCTCAAACCCCACCACATAATCTTCAAGGGTAAATCAGTAAATCAAATATTCACGACTCAGACCTAGCTTTAAGTGTTTTTAAATTCCCAATAAGACCCCTCTGCAGCGCCCCCCAACATTTTGCCCCCTCTAAAATTTCCTCCTCCATTGATGAACCTTCAAGAACCGCCATCGCCATCGGAGGTTCTTCTTTATGATCAAACAGTTGTGGAATTCGATATCATCGTTAGCTCTGAGAGACCAATCCACGAAGTTTCGTTTTGCTAGTTTGGTAGGTGTTCGACGCGGATGGAATCTTTTTTCTTGTCGATTCGTTACGAATCTTTATGGTCTGTTTATATTATTTGTTATCTTTTATTTGTTTGTGTGTATGGATCTTTTTAAACCATCTGTATACAGCAAAATCATTAGTTTATTTTGGTCAATTGGTGTTACGATTTGCTATATAAGTAGAAGAACGGTGAATTAGGGCTTTGAATTCTATTTCGTTTTTTTTTCCTCAGGTGTGTGCGCGCTTGTGAAGTATTGTGTTTTTTTAAGGTGTTTGATTGGTATTTCTAGTGGTAGTTTCGTCATTAGAGGAAAATATGCTATGATTTCTTGAGATTTACGCTACGATGCAAGCAAATTGAGGTGCAGAAATTGTCTATTATTGAAGGTAATTTCTATTTCTGTAACCGTAGCATGATGATTTCGTCATTGATACGTATCAGATTGTGGACGATTTTAACTTCTCCTGTAAAAACTTTTGGGGATTCGGTGTTTTTTTAATAAAAACACCATTTTGGGGATGAAAAAGGCCACTTGATCTGCATGTGATCAAGTTCCTGTCGTATCTGGGGTTCTTTTAGATTGTCTACTTTTTTGTTCTTTTACATTCGTTAGTGCTCTATGATTTTGCCTTGGTGTGTTTCCAGTTGTAGAAAGTGTAGTTGCATACATCACTATGGGACCTTCATTGAAAAACTTAAACTAGTGGGGGCTATTTAATTCAAATTTTCTTTGTTTTGTTTTCATTCGCTTGTTCTCTCTTTATAATGATTAAATATAGCTGAAGCAGTTGATTTTTCTAGTGGGTTCTTTATTAGAGAATTATATGTCCATTTACACAACAGTGGTAGATATTAGTTTCAGGGCATCTCCAACCGTACTACGTATTTGAGATTTTTCGGAGAAGAAACTCTATTCGTACCATAAAAAGAATGGCAAAATGCCTGAGATAGGAGAGAAACGGCATATGTCGTGCGTTAGGAGTTGAAGCAATTTTTGGTGTTAATGCCTCCCCCCTTTGGTGTTTTTTTTCGTGCTCTAGGGTTGGAGATGGTCTTAGTGGAAACAAAAGGTCTCTCTAGCTGACCTTCCTTTATAGATCGAAGAAAGGTTAAAGTTTGGAACTTTGATGTTGTATACGAAACATTTCAACGAATGGGTTTGGAGGAATATCATGGTTCAGATCATCATTTTTGGATTGACAGTAGGGTTCAGTTTCTCTTACATGCAATGGCAGATCAAGAATTAACGAGTGATTCATTTAGTCACTTGGAGTTGGGACTCTTGGATTGAATCGATCTGATAACCATATGTGTGTGTGTATGCGATTTCTATTGCCTTTAACAGTAGGAAACAAAGAATCTTTACTTTGAACTTTGTCATTAAGAACTCTACTATTCTGAATAAAGGGTGGTGGATTGGATCTGGATATCTAACTTTTTGACATTTCTTAGATTTATTCCCTAGGTTGCGGGTCACGTTAGGCATAGAAAGCTAGCAATTTCTTGATTGACATTGCACTTTAGGGGAAGACAATAAGAATCAATGAATCATCGTACTCCTTCCTATCTACTTTTTCATGCTTGATCAATGGAGTTCAAAATCACCAACGGCTTTAACTTTGATCTACTAGATTCTCACATTTAAAGCAAATTGAAATGTAATGATTACCATCCTCCTCTTGTCCCAACCTTTTTTCCATACATTGCGGGTAAACTGTGTTGTATTTCCATGTTTATTAAACCATAAATGTAAATAAGTGTCGCGTATATATTAACTTTATATCATATTCTATCTTTCGGATATGTTCATAATTATTTTTACAGAACTATTTCCTTTTTGTACCTACATGGAGATTAACACTGTGTTCTCGAAACCCTTTTTTTGGATAAGAAAGGAAAAGGGGTAAAGGACGTCTGTTTTCTAAACTTTTTAGGAGAGAAAGGAAAGCGATGTCAGGGAGAAATATCATTTATGTTTCCTCCCAAATGTGGGAAGAAAGACGGTGAAAGAAAATCTGAAAGGAGTCTCTAATCTTTTATGACAAAAATACCCTCAAAGCATATATTCATAAAAGTTACATCTTTTCTTTCCTTTCTCTCCGGTTCTTCCTTTCCGTCCATTTAATGAGCGTAAATAATAAAAACTTTCTTTCCTTCCCTTTCTTTTCATTTCCATTCTTTCCCCTCCCTTTCCTTTTTTTCTTTTCTTTTCTTTTCTTTTCTTCCCAAATTTGAAAAAGCAGGGGCTGTTTTGTTGGTTTTCATCAGGTCATGTATGGGTAAAGTTGTATGTGTGGGTTAATACGTCTGTATAGATTGGGAAGATTTTTGTTTGTGAGAGTTTTTTCATGGATGGAAGAAGTGTGTTTTTTTAATTGGAGGGGTTTGTTTTGAAAAGATTTAGCTTTCTGCATAAAGCTCCCCTTAGAAGCTTATCAAATAAGTCACTTTTTATATCATTAAGTCACTATCAAACAGTCATGTATAGTTGACCGGATAAGCTGTAAGTCCGGTTAAGCTCGTTAAGCTGTTAACAAACAAAACGTAGGTGTTAGGTGGTGGTTGGGAGGTTACTTATGGAGACCATGAAGTTTCCACCTATTTGAACTTTGAAATTTCAATTAGGGAAGTTCTCAATTAAGGTTGGTAGACTTTTCCATGGCATGTATATGATATAATATCACCACATGATTAAGACATTCTCTTCCCAAAAGTCTTCTGCATTTTTTAATTGAATTATGAACTCATAATCATGTCATGACAGCAGAGGCAGTGGACACTACTCATTGTTGTTTTCTTTAATAAGTAACAACTTTCCCTTCTTAGCTTCTTTCTGATTCTATCTTTGTCAAAACATACTTCATTTCAAGTTCTCTCTTTCAGATGGATTCGGTTCAGCACTCCTCGAATAAGAGTAGATTGGCTCGTACTTTTGCCAAGGTTTTGCATATTCGAGCTGCAACAGCGGATAAATTTCAGAAAACAAAGATATGGGAAAAGGTGAAGCGCGATAAACCGATCGATGATGATGATGACGATTTCAAAAAGGAAGAAGATGAAAAGCTTCGGGAAAGAGCAGCAATGGATGCTTTTGTTGCCAAACTTTTTGCCACTATATCTTCTGTGAAAGCTGCATATGCTCAGCTGCAGTATGCTCAATTTCCTTATGATGGTGAAGGAATACAGTCGGCTGATCAGATCGTGGTCTCTGAATTGAAGAATTTATCCGAATTAAAACAATGTTTCTTGAAGAAACATCTTGATGACTCCTCTCCCGAAACCACCCAACTGGTGGCAGAAGTTCAAGAGCAAAAGAATCTGTTGAAAACGTACGAGATAACAAGGAAGAAATTGAACAGCTATACGAAGCTTAAAGACTCCGAGATCATGTTTTTGAAAGAGAAATTGGAGGAATCCAGAAGGGAAAACAAGGTGATCGAGAAGAGATTGAGTTCAAGCGGATCTTTATCATCATCGCTTCACGAGAATCTCGATTTTCATTCGTTAACCCCAACCAATTTCGTCTCAGCTCTTAAACAAACGATGAAATCCATTCGAAATTTGGTGAGATTCTTGATCAGTGAAATGGAGTCTGCAAATTGGGATTTAGATGAGGCTGCCGATTCGATCCAGCCAGATGTTGTTTATTGGGATACAACCCATAAATGCTATGCATTTGAGTCGTTTATTTGCAGAGAGATGTTTGATGGTTTCAATCTCCCGGAGTTTCGAATAACTTCGGATTATCAGTCGATGCCTAGAAGCGAAAAACGCCAAAGATTCTTTGACAAGTTTATGGAATTGAAGTCTTTGAAAGCACGGGAATACCTTACATGGAAACCGACATCAATGTTTGCCGAATTCTGCAGGTCCAAGTACCTGAAGCTTGTTCATCCCAAGATGGAATTCTCTCTTTTCGGAAATCTGAATCAAAGAAATCTGGTGGGTGCCCGAAAATTCCCGGAAACAGCTTTCTTTGATTTGTTTGCGGACGTGGCAAAACGTGTTTGGCTTTTGCATTGTCTGGCGTTCTCGTTCGGTCCCGAGGAGGTCGGTATCTTTCAGGTGGCAAAAAGCAGCCGGTTTTCTGAAGTGTATATGGAAAGCGTAAACGAAGAGGCGTTATTGTCGCCGGAAAGTTCGTCGGTAGTGGCATTCACGGTGGTTCCGGGGTTTAGGGTGGGCAAAACGGTTATTCAGTGTCAGGTTTATCTGATTTGATAGTCGGATCAGAGGGTCTACAGACATGAAGGTGGTTGCAGGTGGCGGAGGGCGGTGGTTGGTGGTGGCGGAGGATGGTGGTGAAGGTAAGAAACATAAACTTCAAAGCTGTGTTGTCCAATTTTGTTATACACACACAGTAATAGTAGTAGTTTTTGGTTATATGTAATCTTGTATATTGGTTTTGCCGTTGATGAAATACAAACAAATGTATGTACCTTTTTTGTTTGTGCTCGTTGATGTGCCGTTTACCAAACACTTACCGGATAAGTGCTTACCAGTAGAAGTTACTACTCTTTTACTTTATGGGGTAATATTTCTGACCATCAAAAATAGATTGATGGTAAGCGTTTATAACCCCGGTAAGCATTTTACTGGGTAAGAGTCATCACCATCGGTTACAGGGAAAGACTTTCGATTTCTACCCTCTTGTTGATAAGATTATCGGTTCTTGTTATATTCATTCGGTAAGTTAATTGAATTAATAAGCGTTTACTAAAGTAAGTGTTTAGTAAACGGACCCTTAATTAGAATGATTTTGGTTTTAGCGACTTGTGATACAACAGACGCTACCAAAATGTTATTGGTCTAGTTGTATCTGGGTTATCAGTAGATACCAGCCATTTTGAAGGTTGGGATTCAAGGTTTATTGAAGTTAGAAGCAAGGGTGTTCCAAAAAACCAATGAATTTTTTCATTTTGAATAATTTAGTCCATGAACTATTTTTTTTAAATGAAAAAACCATTAAACTTTTTCAATTTTGATGATTAAGTTTCTGAATTATTTTTTGAATTTAAAACCCATTAAATTTTCTTATCGATTGATTAAGTTCTTAGACCTTTTTTTAATAAATAAACAATCACACTTTTAAAAATTGGATATCTACATTATTTTAACCCAAAAAAATTACATTAATCGACTAGTAAAAGTTTGATATTTTATTTATTTTTAAAAAAATCTAAGGTCTTAATCATTTAAAAATGTTAATCATTTAAAATAAAAAAATCTAATCGTTTTTTTATTCAAAAATAAAAAAATTTATTACAATTTTTTTTGGACTTTTCTCTAAAGAAAGTTCAAAATCACAAACCTTAATTTCTTTGTTATCTGACATCTCTAAACTCTCGTCGTTCTTGTTCAATTATGAATGACAACGTCTGAATTATTCGTAGCAATATGAACAGGTTTTTGTTCAGAACAACATATGTATGTAATTTTTCTACACATATTTTTATCTCATGGGTCATCATAATTCCAAACTATCTAAATCGCATTTGATGGTCTGATTTAACTGGTTCAGAAAGCGTTTATAATTTGGTTTGTGGTTTGGCAATTTTTAGGTTGCGTTTGGCAAACTAGCTGATAAGCTAGCTGATGAACAAATAATGTTTGATAAAACTAACTGGTAAGAATGTAAAATGACCAAAAAGTGGATCTTGAAAAACTAATCAATTATAATATTTCAAAATATAATTGAAACAATTTTTTAATAGTATAATATATTAAGTAATACAAACAAGATGGTAAAAAAAATTAAAAAAGTATAATATATTGATTAAAAGAATTTTAAATTGATTATTATA